TATTTATTTTCACTGAGATTATCTGTTTTGTGATGCTGTTAATTTCACATGTGCATAATTCCAACACAATGCTCATCACCAACATCACCCTTTTCCTACACCAGGAACAATATCAGCCATCCCCTTCAACTCCATGCCATTGCACCAACTGAGTTGTTCTCCCATTATGTTGCCTTTATGTGTTTCCTGCTACTTTGCTGAGTATCTATAAGTTTGAAATAGGAAAGAGAGAGAGAGAGAGAGAGAGAGAGAGAGAGAACAGTCTGTGTCAGCCACCTTCCATTTGACTTCACTCAGCATGATATCTTCTACTTCATCTATGTCTTGCGAACTGCAAATTGTGTGATTTTGGTCTTTGTCAGATGTGCACTGTAGTCCATTTTATATAATTCCCACAATTTCTTGATCTATTTATTCAATGTTGGGAATTTAGGTTGTTTTTACACGTTGGCTATTGCACTAAGAGTGACAATAAACACTGGTGTGCATATATGCTTTGAGATGAATGTTTCTGTGTTTTGAAAATAGATGCCAGGAAATGGCACCAGTGGATAATGTGGTAGTTCTATTTCTATTCTTTGATAGATCTCCATATTAGATTCCACAGAGACTGAACTGATAAGGAAATTTTTATTACCATAACTCTTCTAATACTGGCTGTTTCCGGAAACTTAGATGTAAACGGAGCAGTTTATTTAAATGTGAAGTCTTCAAGAAAAGAAAACTACAGGCCGATATCCCTGATGAACACGGATGCAAATATTCTCAACAAAATACTAGCAAATAGAATTCAACTACTCATCAAAAAGATCATACACCATGACCAAGTAGGATTCATCCTGGGGATGCAAGGCTGGTTTAACACTAGGAAATCAATCAACATAATCCACCACATCAACAAAAGAAAAGATAAAAATCATATGATCATATAAATAGATGCAGAGAAAGCATTTGACAAGATCCAGCACCCATTTATGATGAAAACCCTAGCCAAAATGGGGATAGAGGGGACTTTTCTCAATATAGTTAAAGCCATCTACCACAAGCCTACAGCAAGCATCGTCCTCAATGGCGAAAAACTGAGAGCCTTCCTTCTAAGATCAGGGACGAGACAAGGATGCCCACTCTCTCCACTGCTGTTCAATATAGTATTGGAAGTACTTGCAATAGCGATTATGCAAGAAAAGGATATTAGGGGCATCCAGGTAGGAAAGGAAGAAATCAAGCACTCACTATTCGCAGATGATATGATACTATACTTAGAAAACCCTAAAACCTCTATCAAGAAACTTCTAGAAACAATAGGCTTGTATAGTAAAGTGGGAGGTTATAAAATCAATGCCCAAAAGTCCATGGCTTTCCTATATGCAAATAGTGAAAGAGAAGAAAAAGACATGAAGAAAACAATCCCATTCACAATTGTGCCCCAGAAAATCAAGTACCTAGGAATCAGCTTAACTAAGGAAGTAAAGGACCTGTACAAAGAAAACTACAAAACTCTACTTCAGGAAATAAAAGAGGATACGAGGAAATGGAAAAATATCCCCTGTTCATGGATCAGGAGAATTAACATTGTCAAAATGGCAATACTTCCCAAAGCACTGTATAAATTCAACGCAATCCCTATTAGGATACCCATGACATTCTTCAAAGAATTGGAGCAAACATTCCTGAAATTCATATGGAACAATAAGCCCCCACGAATAGCTAAAGCAATTCTTGGGAAAAAGAAAATGGGAGGAATCAACCTCCCTAACCTCAAACTCTACTACAAGGCAGTAATAATTAAAACAGCATGGTACTGGAACAAAGGCAGAGCTGTAGACCAATGGAACAGGGTTGAATATACTGACTCCCCCCCCCCCCCCCAAGCATACGAGCATCTAAATCTCCGATAAGGGGGCAAGAAAAGTGAAGTGGAGCAGGGAAAGCCTCTTTAACAAATTATGCTGACAAAACTGGACGGCTATATGCAAAAAAATGGGCTCAGATCTCTGCCTAACTCCATGTACAAAAGTAAGATCTAAGTGGATTAAAGACCTCAACATCAGACCGGAATCTGAAGAGATTGTATCAGATTGTATCCATAAGATACATTGAGGAAAATGTTGGCAAAACCCTTCATGACATAGAAGCTAATAGTGTCTTCAAAGATGTCACACCGCTGGCCAAGCAAGTGAAAACAGAGATAGATAAATGGGACTATCTTAAACTAAGAAGCTTCTGCACCTCAAAAGAAACAGTGACCAAAATACAAAGACAGTCAACTGAATGGGAAAGGATATTCGCCAACTACACATCTGATAAGGGGTTAATTTCAAGGATATACAAAATACTGGTTCAACTCCACAAAAAGAAAACATTCAACCCCATCAAAAAATGGGGAGATGAAATGAATAGAAACTTTGACAAAGAAGAAATCCGAATGGCTAAAAGACACATGAGAAAATGTTCCACATCATTAATCATCAGGGAGATGCAGATCAAAACCACAATGAGGTATCACCTCACACCACAGAGACTGGCTCATATCCACAAGAACAAAAGCAACCGGTGCTGGTGCGGATATGGTGAGAAAGGGACACTCCTTCACTGTTGGTGGGAATGCCGACTGGTTCAGCCCTTCTGGAAAACAGTATGGATGATTCTCAAAAAACTAGAAATTGAGCTCCCATTTGACCCCGCAATACCACTCATGGGAATACATCCCAGAGAGGCAAAAAAGTATAGCCGAAGTGACATCTGCAATTGTCTGTTTATTGCAGCACTCTTTACAATAGCCAGAATCTGGAAAAAAACTGAGTGCCCGAGAACAGACGACTGGTTGAAGAAACTCTGGCACATTTACACAATGGAGTACTATGTAGCTGTTAGAAAAGATGAAGTCATGAAGTTTACATACAAGTGGTACTACATGGAAAGTATCATGTTAAGCGAAATGACTCAGAAAGAAAGGGATAGACATAGAAAGATTGCATTCATCTGGGGAACATAAAGTAACAAAATAGGAAACTAACACCCAAGTATGGCAGAGATTAGTACCAGGAATTTTACTCAATGACCCGGAGGACAACCACACATGTTAGGGGAAGGGGGAGCTCAGAAAGAGAAGGGAACACCAAATAAAGGGTGTTGGGAGGATCCGCCCACGATGGGAGATCATGCTGAGGGTAGACTGTCGACCAACATGATTGCCACTCAATGCCTCTTTTGCAGACCATGGCACTCAAAAGGAGAGAGAGGGAAATGCCCTGCCACAGAGGCAGGGTGGGATGGGGACTGGGGGGCGGGAGGAATACTGGGATCCATGGTGGTGGGAAATGCGCACTGGTGGAGGGATGGGTGTTTGATCATTGTGTAATTGAAACCCAAGCACAAAAATGTGTAAGTCTGCAACTGTACCTCATGATGTCTCACTATTAAAAAACATAAATTAATTAATAAAAAAAAGATAAGTGAGATCATTTGGTATAGGGCCTCCTCCATCTGATTAATTCAATTGACATGCTATCCTCCACTTCCATCTGTGTTTCAGGGAATTACATGACTTCATCATTGCTTGCAACTGCAAAGCATGCCATTGTGTATGTATACCATAACTTTTTTATTTATTCAAGTGCTGCAGTGAACAATAGAGATCATATGTCCTTTCAAATGAATGTGTTTTGACTTGGAGATAGAAAATGAACATTTTGGGGGGTAAGGCATAGATACTAACAACAAGTTGACTCAAATGGCAGCTTATCTTACTTTGATAAATTTCAGAATTATAAGAAAAAATTCAATATGTTTTCCATAGAAACTGGACCCAGCTGAGGATTCCTTTTTTTAAATAGATTTTATTTGGAGGGTTTTTAAGGTTTGGAGGGAGAGAGAGAGAGAGAGAGAGAGAGAGAGAGAGAGAGAGAGAGAGAGAAAGAGAGAGGAACACAAGAGAGAACGCGGGCTTCTCCAAGAGCAGAGAGAGCCCCTACACACATCCTAGCATTAGACACGAAAGCATGATGGGAGATGCGGGTGACACATGTGCTCAGGCACCACAGTGCTCGGCCATGTGGGCGCAAGCAGCACATGGGCTAGGCAGCATATACACCAAGGATTCCTTTTATTTTAAACCACATCATACCAATAGCTGTTATTTCCAGACATATATTCATATATGTCTGTAAACATACATATGTATATATATATATATATATTCTCACAGTTGTCAGATAATACATCAACATCATTTTTGTGTGTGTGTTTTTCTAACTAAGGGAAAAGAGGCACTTTTTTTCAGATGCTTATTGATCATCTCTACATCTTCTTTGTGGATGTGTCTGTGTCTATCTCCCTATTTTATCATTTTATGATTTAGTTACTGACTGGGTTTTATTCACTAGTTTGTTGAGTGCTTTAAAGATTTTGACTGTTCGTCCTTTATGTGAAGTATTATGTATAAATATATTCTCACATTCAGTTGTGTGTCATTTTATTTTAACTATGCCATGCAAAAGTTTTTTAAATTCAGTTAGTTGCACATTCTTAATTTTGTACAGTGGAATCAGACCAATGGAGACCTCTCAGAGAGAAATGAATCCTTTGATATTTACATCTTTTCTTTAAATTTTCTACACTTAGCTGATGTGTGTCCTTTTCCTTGTGCCCTCTGAATCATTTTTAAGCCAAGCAATTGCTTAGATGATGCTACAGTGGTTGCTGGAAAGGTGTCTCTACATCAATTAAGATAAAGAGATAGAAGTGTGTGATTCTGCTGTTTTGTTTTGTTTCTGTTTGCCTGTTTGTTTTATTTCCCCCCCTTGGGATAAAACGCAGGACTTTACCATGGAATGCATGTGTTGTAAAACTGACTGATAACCCAAACTAGAGTTTGGTATTTTGAAAATAAAACAGAGAGAACAATAGAGAGATGATGGAAAATTGAGAATACAAGCAGAAGAGGGGAGAGCAGCCATGAAATAGAGCTGAGTTGATGAGAAGGGGAGTTTTTGTCTCACTTCCCTGTGGGTCTGGAGCACTGGGTGACAATTGCTGCTATCATCATAGGACAGACAGTAATAGTCTGCCTCGTCCTCAGGCTGCACCCCAGTGATGGTCAGGTGTGCAGCGTTGGAGGAACTCTCAATGGACCCAGAAAACCTATCGGGAACTCCAGAGGGTCTTTTATTGTCTGCATAGATCACGTTTGTGAGGGAACTCCCAGAGCGCTGCTGGTACCAGGACACATAGTAATCCCCTATGTTTCCACTGCTGCGAGTACAAGAGATGGTGACCTTTTCCCCTGGAGACCGGGACACAGATGGGGTCTGACTCAGCACAAACTGGGCCCAACTCCCTGAAAGGAAAGAAGAGAAAGATCAATGAGACAGAAAGATACAGTTCCCGCAGAGGAGGGAGAGGTCATCATCCCATTGTCACCCCTGCAAAATTCCCTGAAAGCACTACCTGTGCAGGAGGCCAGAGAGGTGAGGAGCAACAGAGTCCAGGCCATGCTGAAGACACCCCCAAGCTTTGTCACCAGGACTTGGCAGTCACACTCTGTCCAGGAGCCCTTTATAGGACCTCCTATTCCACAAGGTGGGACGTTTTCATGCAAACCTTCCCCTTTCAGGAAGCCTTGCAAGCCCCTCCTTATAATTGGCCTAGACACAAGCTGAGTAAAGAGAGATTAGAACAGGGGGAAGAATTTCTCCCCAACAGGGCAGGGTGACAGTTGCTGGGCATGAGATTCAAGACTACAGAACACTGCCCCCTGGTGGATACAGGAGAAATTTCACACCTGGGCCCCTGCAGTCCAGACATCCACGTTCTCCAATTCACATCCCTGAGTTTTCCAGATCATAACCAAGATTCTCTGCACTGCACTTAATCTCACTTTGCATTTTATGCTTTCTGACTGTGCAAATTGACCATGACAATGTGAGTTATTCTGTGGAATATCATAAGGTAAAGGTAAAGGCCCTCCCGTTGATCGTCGATTTGCTCGAGCGGGCCCTGTAACGTCTCCATTGGAGATTTTGTTGTTACTGTGTCTGGCATATCGAATACTCTCGGTAGCTTGCCGGGCTCTCCGAGAGAGGCAGAGGAATCGAACTCGGGTCGGCCATGTTGGCCGCTTGTAAGGCGAACGCCCTACCCGCTGTGCTATCGCATCATAAGGTGAATGAGCTAATTCAAGGAAAGGGAGTGGTATCTGCACTGAATTTAACTCCATGGTATGCTGGGGCAAAGACCTTTCCACACTAGCAGAAACAAAGATTATGTGCACAGAATGTATGATCTACGATGCACCAAGAAACATTATGAACATTGAATCAAATGGAGCATGCAACATTTCTAATATATGTTGAATTACGCTGGCCATCATTTATTATAGATTTTTAGAAGAAAACTAGGTACAGATCTAACCGTTGGTTTGGGTATCAGTTCAACATGAATCTAGGGGCTGACTTTCCCATAACTGCACTAGTAACTGGGAGTTCCTGAGTTCTATCTCTGAGTTCTCTAAGCTAAATCTCCAGTTTGGCTAACTGCAGGTGTAACAGTGCCAGGGATGATTAATGGGGAGACATTACACTGGGTATTTACATCTGCCTGGTAAGGAGCAAGTTCAGAGCTGAGCATCTGGGAGTCAAATGCAGGAGTTCAGCATGTCTAAGACAGGCTGAGCGGTGATAATGACACAGGCCACCTGGTTTTCATATCATGAATACATTTGATTTACCCACACCGTACAAATTAGACAATATCATGACCTCCTTACACAGGTGCAATTTTTCTGTTAGTGCAGATCTGGAGCCATCAGTGACAGGTTTTTGAGAAAGTTTTTGATGACTGGAAAGGCCAGGCCTTTTGGGTGTGCTCATAGAATTCATTATGTATCTAATTATGAGCAAGCTTTATTTTATATTTCTTCATTTAAAGGAATGGAGCGCTAGCACAGTGGGTAGGGCATTTGCCTTGCGTGCAGCTGACCCGGCTGACCCGAATTCGATTCCACCACCATTCTCAGAGAGCCCGGAAAGCTACCAAAAGTATCTCATCTGCACGGCAAAACCTGGCAAGCTACCTGTGACATCTCTGATAGCCAAAAAAGGTAAAAACAAGTCTGACAATGGAGACATTACTGGGCCCACACAAGCAAATCGATGAACAATGGGAGGACAGTGCTACAGTGCTACAGTGCATTTTGTAGCATATGTAATCTAATATATTTTAATCACTCACTTTAGTGGTGTTGAGAAAAAGGTAAATATAAAATATATAAAGATATCATAAAATTTAGGAGGTATTAAAATGGTCCATACTATTGCAAAACCTGTATTTCTTTTTGAAAGTTTCCTTCAAATTATTGAGCAAACCTGCCATAGCTCACTAACGAGCTTGAGAGCCACATTTTTCCAATATTCCTGAATCCCAAATTGACCTTGTGAAAACACAGGCAAATTTTTTCTGAACAAAATAGAAAGTGTACTGGTTTTAATAGATATTATAGGAGGGCCAGAGCAATTGTACTGTGGATAGACACTTGCCTTGCTTGCAGCAGACCCGGGTTCAATCGCTGCACTTTATGGTCACTTTGAGCATCCACCAACAGAGATCCCATGTCAGAAACAGAGCAGTAAGTCCAGAGCACCACAGGGTATGGCCAGAAAACAAATTAAAAAAAGGGCAAAGGGGAGGAGACTCTAATATGTTTAATAGTAACTATATTACTAGAACTGAAGACTTGTTGTTTTGCACTATTTTATATAAAATGTGGTTCTAAGGATAGTTTTGATATTTTTTAAAAAAATACCAATGATAGATAGGTTTAAGTGATGTCAATTCTAGTTGTAATATGTTGAAAGTCTCTCTAAAATGCCAGATATTTTTTGGGTGCCAGAATGATAGCATAGTGGGTAGGGCACTTGCCTTGCACCCAGTTGACACGAACATTCCATAGGTCCCCCGAACGCTGCCAGGAGCAACTCCTGAATGCAAAACCAGGAGTAAGCATCTCTGGGTGTGACCCCAAAGCAAACCAATGAATAAATAATTAATCAATCCATAAAATGCCAAATGTTTGAGTGAGAAAGTTAGGCTCTGGAATCATTCTTTCTGGGTTGACACTGACACAAGCCGCAATGCCTGCAAGAGGCCTGTGCAACTGTTCTGCTGGAAAATGGTGCTGATCCCAGAGTGGCAGACAACAGTGCGAGACTGTTCTCCACTAGATGCCCTGGATCCAATCACATAAATAGAAGCAAAGTTTCTTTCTTATCATGCAGGCTATTGCTGCGTGGGTGACAGCTCTCCCAAACTGGGTGTGGGGGAGATGGGAAGACAGTGAAACAATAGTCAGAGATATCAGCAACTCTTGGTAAAAGTCAGAAAAATTGGAAACCTCACACATTGAAGATAGACAAGTAAGCTAGTGCAACTTCTGGAAATATACATCTGACTGCGTTATGTCCCGGGAAGGGAGTTTCGCTCCCACATTGACACATTGACCAGACCAGACGTGAGGATACAAATGCAAGGCCCCTTTATTGCTAGCTTGAGCTAGGGTTCAAGTCTCATCCAATGCCGTGGAGCCTCGACAAAGACCCTGACCCAAGTTGCAGGAAACATTATATAGCATTTTGTTAAATGAGAAATGTTTGGCAGTATCCCCAAGAATTGAGGTGAAGCAATCACAACACTGTGAGTTAATTGGTTATGCCCACCTGCTGTGCCCAGAGATATCCTACTTATCACAGAACTGGCTAGAGGCTTCTAGGGGATTTCCAGCCTCTGCAAGGACAGTCTCAGGGAATTCTTTAGGAGGAGAGGGAAGGGGAAACAGAAATGTAGGTCTACTGCTTGTTTTGCTGAAGTACGGCCTGTCATGGCACCTGTGAGTTGCTTTTCAGCCTCACAACTGCTCTGATCATCTAGAATTTACAATTTGGCTTGACCATTCTACCCCTTTAGATGAAAACTAACATTGAAATAAATAAAAACTAGTAAACCAATGCTCCTGCAACCCTTTGCATGAGAGTAAACAGATTATCAAATAGCAGAAATGAGCATCTTCAGCTGAACAAATCTACAAAATGTGGTATGTTCATATACTAGAATATAATTCAGCAAAGATTCTTGGATATTTACTATGCTTAGTCCAACTTACCAGTTGGAAAAGACAAATACTATATCAATTTGCCCAAAAGTGAAATAGAACCCCAAATAGGGAACAAACCAATATGAGAGTAAATGTTTAAATTTTAAGATAGTTTGGGGTTAGCTGAGAGGAATGGTAGGGGCATGGAACAGGATTGAAGTAGCTGACTAGGTGTAGATAGATGGAAACTAGATGTGAGGTGGCAGATATAGACAGTGTATACTGAAAGGAGGAGTGAAGCCACACCACTGAAATATTTGAAGGTTGTAAACTGGTGTGAACTTGGTAGCAGAATAAACTATTGTCACATGTCACATCATGCATGGGCCTAGAAATATTGTATAATAAAAATGTAAATAAAGTAAAGGAGTTGCAAAGTACCTTTTTTTTCAGAATCTATCAATGTGAAATATCCAGAACAGTAAAATTCATGAGTTTTGAACAAGGTTTAGTGATTTCCTTGGAGTGAGTAGGGTGAGGTAGGGTGAGAAGAATCACTAATGGATTTGGAAATTCCTTCTAGAATGATGGAAATATTGAAAAATTAGATTTTGATGTTGATTATGCAAGTCTCTCAATTCATGAAGCACGATTGAACTGGACACTGTAAGAGTGTTTAAATATGATTAATAAAGGTAACATCTCAACATAGCTATTAAGCACACCCAGTCTGAGAAGGAGGAGCCATCATTGTCCCTGTTCAGTGGCTTTGTGCTCAGACACACTCAGAAAGTACAAACTCCACAGCTCTGTATCCTGTTTGGCACAGGCTGACATGGACCAGTGCTGGGTTTTTGTTTCACTTCTCCTTGAGTCTGAAGCACTGTGACACTGTTGATATTTTTGTCCCATGAAGAACAGTAATAATCAGCCTCATCCTCAGGCTGCACGCCTGAGATGGTCAGAGTCGCCTTGATTCCAGATTTCGAACCAGTGAACCGATCTGGAATCCCTGTAGGTCGATTACTTCCAAGCATCACAATTCTGGGGGCAGCACCAGGAATCTGTTGGTACCAGCCTGTACCATAGGTACCAATATTGTTGCTGTTTCCAGTGCAGGAGAGGGTGACTGTCTGTCCCACAGACACTGACACTGACTCTTCCTGCGTCAGTTCAGTCTGCGCCCAGGAGCCTGGAATGGAGCAATGGAGACACACAGCCTGTTCTCAAAACAAAGCATTTTCCCATCACCACAGCCCCACCACCCTGATCATGGTCTCCACTATTATCACTTCCCCAAGTTCCACTCTCAGTCATCTGGATACTGAGCTAGCAGGAAGAGTAGGAAGAGAGGAGGACAGGCCATTGCAGAGGCACCCTGGACTCGGATTTGGAGCTCACAAGGGAGA